GACCTTTCCTTCCACTGCACTAGTAAGTAGATACTAATCTACTGCAATGATATTTTGACAGGAGGACCATGCCACTTAACCACTACTCTCAAACCTTCTTCTCCTTGCCATTTTACTTTACGAAAGTTCCTTCACTCTTTGATGAAGTGGGTCCCCTCCCCCTCTTCCTCTTCCTCTTAAGATTAGATTAGATTATAACTTTGTTTGTATTATAATAATCAATTACATAATCAACTAGGGTCAAAAAAAAATTACATAATCAACGACTTTTCACTGTGTATTTCTCACAATCTTGCATGTGATTGATTTGGATTGAGTCTGGGTGGGCGATGATTTAAACTAATTATAGAACAAAACGGACCTCGCAACATGCCATTATTTTCAAATTCAAAACAGGGTAAGTGAGTGCCAATGCAATTCAATTCAATGCAATGCGATGCATTTTGAAGATGGTCTCGATTGAGATGTGAGATTCGAAATAGACAGAGATGATTGCATCATGGATACTAAGCCCCTGGCCCACCGCCATTATTATTATTACTAATTCCTTACTATTATCCCTCCTTCCAAAATGAGAATGATGGCCGACAACTGTCCAGCTACCCATGCACAGGCAGGCAGGCAGGCAGGGGCCACACTTGATTGGGTCCCGTCTTTACCCTCCCTCCTAAATCCAATCCCGCTCAGACGGGCTTCATAGTCAACTCAAGCTGTCAATTTTTATACGACACGTTCATATAAAACGAGTTGAACATAAAATTAATGAGTTGGACATAAAATTAAACAAGTCAATGAATCAACATGGTTAAATATAAAAAAAATTATGTAGTGTTTATGTTAAAATGAGGATAATCCGATTTTGACGTAATTAACCCATATATTTTAAATAAATTGACATAATTCGGATACGAACCTTACCTAACTCATTTATAGTTTGCCTATTATATATGATCGATGTGATATTAACATTATTACTTATTAGTTTTTGTTTCTACTGTGATAATTGACAATATACTTCTTAGCATTATTATGACAGTATAGTAATATAGTTATTTTTTTAATTTTTGGGTTAAAAGTTAAATGCATTTTAGCTAATTTTATTGATGAGATGTGATATATTTGTAAAAAAATTATTTAAAATTTTGGATAAATGATTGAATAATATATTTATTAATGGTAATAAATAGGTGTAGAATTAAGTTATGTATATTAAAAAGGTTTGTGTTATGTGTGTTAAACAGGTCGTGTTATGTGTGTTAACCTAAAAACGACCTATTTATTAAACGTGTCAAATAGGTTGGATTTAATTAACCGTTTAATGGACTGGTCAGATTAGTATTTACACATCTCGACACGATTATTAAACAGTTCAGGTTCGAATTTTAAAATTTTTGACATAAACTCGAAATCAACTCGACAAGAAATTATCCAACTCGACACGTTTGACACCCCAATAGTTAACCATGTCAATGGATCCAATTATAATTCGATTTCGGTCTAATATTTTACTTCAAAAATTTGTTACTTCATATTTAATAATATATTTATATTTGCATATACAAATATTCAATTTAATAATATTTTGATCTAAAATACACAATGAAATTCAGAATAAATATTATATTAAAAATAGATATAATTTGCTAAAATACAACTTAATTTAGTTATTAAAATCGAATTAAATATTCAATTCTTAATAGATTTAGATTCCGACAATTAGGTGTGAGTGCTGACACGTGTAATGTTTTTAATTGATCTGAGTAATTTTAATTTGATTTACTTATATGTATGTATTCAATAATTTTATCATGCAGCGAACTTAGTTATATTTTCCAGGCAAAGAATACAAATGTTGTGAGATTAAGATCACGTGAGTTCGTCTTGACTCAACTCGATTTAAATAAATTTTGAAGTATTGCATTTGACTAAAATGATAGTAGTTTTATACCAAATGGAGTATGAAAAAAGATTTAAACAGACAATGTGATTTCGATATCAATCCTAATCAAATTGAAACCGATATATAAATGTTATATATTCAATAATGTTATGCTGTCTAAATTTAGATTCTAAATGACATGACAATATATTATTTGAAGTCTTTATTGAGGTCCAAATGACATGATACTAAATAAAGAAGTTAAAATCAAAGCAACACTTGTCATTTTTAAGTTTGATCAAATAGTGTCATATTAATTGTAATGTTTTCAATTCATCTTTATGAATTTGCGTTATAACAAGTTTGTGTTGCAAGTAAAAAATTAAAAGAGGTTGATACATGTATTTATTTTAAATATAATCGAATGAGGATGAACAGGATAAGTGGATAGAATGAAAAGAACTCGAATAATCTATTAACAAAGGGACCACCAATTGGACAAAGAATAGGTGAGGTAGATACTCTCTTTAGCCTAGTCGAAAATCTCTCATGCACTGAGCAAGTAATACAAATATTTATAGCAAAGTGACCGTTCAATTTGAGCTACCAAAAGAGGTTGTCTGCTGCGACCTTTCGACACTCACGCCAACCCACAATTGCCTTAATCATAATGATACCATTGGCCACTAACCACAAGTAACTGTCTCAATATTAACTAAACAAATGTGATTTTTTTTCTAAATGCAGTCTAGATGTGACCATCGATAAGAAGTGTGAAAATCGAGGCAAAATGGGGCTTTCAAGGTTAATGATCGCAATGATAATCACAAGACCATCATCTCCAGAAGGCCATGTACACGATGCGCCCAGTGCGCTCCTACTTGGGATTCTCCCTGCCCTCTCTCAAACCCTTCTTTGAGACCTTTGTCAAGAGACCTAGTAGAAGAAACTCACATAATTTTGATCCTTTAGCCATCAATTCACACATGTCAATATCCCATATGTTGATTCATACTAATAACTTTAGTTATTTTAGGAGTCCCTTCGAATCTTAGCAAACATATCCTAGTATGTAGTGAACTATACACTGGAAGGTCTGCTTGAGTAAATTAAACCTTCGAAACTCTTCCCCTAGTACATAGTGTACCATACACTAGAAGGCCTACTTGAGTAAACTAAACTTTCGAAGCTCTTTCCCACACTGAATTTGATAATCATGCTCATCTGCTTCCATTACTCTGTTCTTCCTTGAAGAGAGTCATATTACTTTGTCCCTAGATGGGGATTTCTCTTTTAGTCTACTGTGTAACAACCCACACTCAACTGTCAAGATATTATTTGTTTTGAGTGCCTATACACTCTCACAATTTTATTCCTCTCATAGTTTCTCCTTAAATTTTTTTGTTAAAACAGTTAAGGGTAAACAGATTACATAAATAGCCTAGTCACTCCCTCTCCAGAATTGATGTGAGATGCAACACATGCTACCATGACGCTATTATTCGTACTAATCTTGCTAACACTAACTGGGTCCTATTGCCACGTAAGTTGTCAATTTTTACCATTTGTCACCTTATAGTGTAAACATATGTCATGAATTTATTAGGTACTACATGCATCAAGTATAAGTAAATAGTAATAATATACTTTTCAAATTGTATTCCAAAAAATTCATCCCAAATGAATTGACACCTTTACACACAACACATTGTGGGCCTCTAAATCAAGTTTGTTCATAAAATATGTGGTGCGTGAAGGTGTCAACTCATTTGAGATTAGTTTTTAGGGATATAATTTGGAAAGCATAAGCAAAATCATGTTCAGCAATTTATTTAATTAGTTATTATTTAAACTTGTAAATGTTAATTAATTCTTTTATGAAATTTGTATCAGTCTCATGGGAGTGCAGTGGTAGTTTTGAATACATAAATATGTGGGAAATAAGAACCAACAACCGAAGCCTAAAAGATCAGATTATTAATTAATTAATTAATAACGAGAATAAGAAGTTGGTTGGCACGTGTAAGCGCACGCACGGTTCAGCTAGGGCTTAATTGGGTAAAGACGATGACACTTCTCCGACACAACCGAAAGGTATGTGGCCCACACCAGACTGGACTGGCGAACTTCACCGTCCTTAAAATCAAAACTCACCAGGTTTGCCGCAGCACTAGCACTAGTAAGTAGTAACAAGTAACAACTCTTTTATTACCCAAAAAACAAAACCTCTTTATTATTACCATTCTGAAAACAAATAAAATAAGAAAAATGACTATTTAAATTATTAATTAATTAATTTAATTAATCATAATTATTAAATTAATAACAAATATTGAGATTCATAAGTAAATCAATAATAATAATAATAATAATTGATAAAATTAACAATACATAACAGTATTTTAGGTTCAATTAAGTAACATTACACATAAAATAATACCAATGCCTCTCATATTTTTATTGTTGTTAGCTTTGGCCTTCCTTTTATTGGATGAACCAACCGCATCGCATCGCATGGTCATTCTTTTTCCATGCATGTGAAATATCACCAAATTCTTGGGCCTATCCTGTATGTATTGATTCTGACTCATGTTGACCTGAGTTTTTAACTTGGAATTGAGTCTTAACAATTTTATTTTTTTAAGAATAAATTCAATCTATTTTTATTTTTATTTTTATTTTATATATACACCAATTATATTTATTTTAAATATTCTTTGAGACCCACTTCTCCTACACACACAACTCTCCTTCCAATTTTAGTTCTAGACTTTGAGGTATTTATGTTATTATCCAATTAATAATAAGTATTAGCATTTAATTAATACAATTCACAATTAATTTAATTATCTCAATATATTAAAATATTTAAATTAACCACAAATTACATTGAATATACTATTTAAATATAATTTATTAATTTAATTAATTATAACTGATTGATCGACGGTACTATCCTATCAAACATTATTACAATTTATAATAAATTAAATTATTACTAAATACTAAAATTTATTATTAATTCAACGGCATAATAAATTATTCAATTATATTTTCTATTTAATGACCCATCACTCCCTCCAACTCAGCTTCTGCTCTTTTATCAGTCACAACAGCAGCAACTGTAACCAATTAGCCACAGCAAGCACCCACCCACGCGCGCCCACTCACACACCCCACTTCATTACATATATGCAGACATTCAACACTGCCATAGCTAAGCTCGAAGATAATCACTCTAATGGCGATTTCTTCGACCACATCTCTAACTCTTGTTTTCTCTCTCTTGTTTATACTTTCAGTCTCAGCTACTATTCAACAAAACACCTTCATAGTTCGAGTCCAACAAGATGCCAAACCCTCCATCTTCCCGACACACAAGCACTGGTACGACTCCTCTCTCACATCTATCTCAGATGACAAGTCCTCTTATTCCGGCGATACTGACACTAGTCGTGTTATCCACACTTACGACACTGTATTCCACGGTTTCTCGGCAAAGCTCTCGACTCTGGAGGCCCAAAAGCTCCAAACTTTGTTAGGTATTGTAGCGGTCATTCCCGAGCAAGTTCGCCGTATGCAAACCACGCGGTCGCCTGAGTTTCTAGGGCTCAAGACCGCGGACAGCCAGGGGCTTTTAAAGGAGTCCGATTATGGATCGGATCTAGTTATCGGAGTCATTGATACTGGGATCTGGCCCGAGAGAAAGAGTTTTAACGATCGAGGTCTAGGTCCGGTGCCGGCGAAGTGGAAAGGAGAATGCATTGGAGGAAAAGGCTTTCCTGCGAGCTCCTGTAATCGGAAATTGATCGGAGCTAGGTACTTCTGTAACGGATATGAAGCGACAAACGGGAAAATGAACGAAACGACGGAGTATCGATCCCCTAGGGACTCCGACGGTCATGGGACTCACACGGCGTCTATTTCCGCAGGAAGGTACGTGTTTCCGGCATCGACTCTCGGCTACGCTCGCGGCGTCGCGGCTGGAATGGCGCCTAAGGCTCGGCTTGCAGCTTACAAGGTCTGCTGGAACGCCGGTTGCTATGACTCCGACATACTCGCAGCCTTCGATGCCGCACTCGCTGACGGAGTCGACGTCATTTCCCTCAGTGTCGGCGGCGTCGTCGTTCCATACTATCTCGACCCCATTGCCATCGGCGCATTCGGAGCTTCTGATGCTGGAATATTCGTTTCCACATCCGCCGGAAACGGTGGTCCCGGCGGTCTGACCGTCACCAATGTCGCACCTTGGGTCACCACCGTCGGCGCTGGAGCAATTGATCGAGACTTCCCTGCCGAAGTGAAGCTGGGTAATGGCAAAATAATCCCTGGGGTGAGTATCTACGGTGGGCCAGCTTTAGCTCCACATCGTCTCTACCCTCTAATCTACGCCGGGAGTGAAGATGGTGATGGATATTCTGCGTCACTCTGTTTAGAGGGTTCACTAGACCCCAATTTTGTGAAGGGGAAGATAGTTTTATGCGATAGAGGGATTAATTCAAGGGCTGCTAAGGGTGAAGTAGTGAAAAAAGCAGGTGGAATTGGAATGGTTTTAGCTAATGGAGTGTTTGATGGTGAAGGCTTAGTCGCTGATTGCCACGTCTTACCGGCAACGGCTGTTGGTGCTACGGCCGGTGATGAAATAAGGAAGTACATTACATCTGCGTCAAAGTCACGTTCACAACCAACGGCGACGATACTATTCAAAGGAACTCGGCTTAATGTGAAGCCTGCCCCTGTAGTGGCCTCATTTTCTGCCCGAGGACCCAATCCGGAGTCCCCAGAAATTTTGAAGCCTGATGTAATCGCTCCGGGATTGAATATACTTGCAGCTTGGCCTGATGGCGTCGGACCATCGAGTATGCGGTCCGATAAGCGTAGAACGGAGTTTAACATACTCTCTGGTACATCAATGGCTTGTCCACATGTATCTGGACTTGCTGCTTTGTTAAAGGCAGCTCATCCAGAATGGAGTCCGGCAGCAATAAGGTCAGCTTTGATGACAACTGCATACACTGTGGATAACAGGGGTGAGACAATGTTGGATGAGTCCACCGGAAATACTTCAACTGTGATGGATTTTGGGGCTGGCCATGTTCATCCACAAAAGGCCATGGACCCTGGCCTAGTATATGATTTGAGTTCTTATGATTATGTGGATTTTCTGTGTAATTCAAATTACACCACAAAGAACATTCAGGCGATCACAAGGAAGAATGCAGATTGTAGTGGAGCTAAAAGAGCTGGCCATTCTGGGAATTTGAACTACCCATCTTTATCAGCTGTTTTCCAACAGTATGGAGAGCATAAGATGTCTACGCATTTTATTAGGTCTGTGACTAATGTTGGGGATCCGAATTCCGTGTATAAGGTCACGATGAGGCCGCCTAGCGGGACGTTGGTGATGGTGCAGCCAGAGAAGCTTGTGTTCAGGAGGATGGGGCAGAAGCTGAGCTTTCTTGTGAGGGTGGAAGTTGTGGCAGTGAAGCTATCCCCTGGGAGTTCAAGGATGATGAGTGGTTCTATAGAGTGGTCTGATGGTAAGCACATTGTCACTAGTCCAATAGTTGTGACAATGCAAGAACCTATGTAAGTAAGAGAATGTAAGATTTTGGGTTTAGAAATTTTGCTGTTTCTCTCTATGTTGATTAATTAATTGTTGCCCAGGTATGCTATTAGAGTTTTTATAGCGCTTTCTATTTCAGAAAGCGCATGGAGTTGGTTTGTAGTTCATAAGGGAAGGGAAGGGAAGGGAAGGAAGTCCTTTGAAAGAAGAACTAAGAATGCCTGTAATGTTGACTAGCTACTGAGAAGAATGTAAAAAATTATATATGGAATGTTCTCTTTGTGCCATTGTGCTCTCCTTTTTCACTATTTTTTTTTTATTGCTACATTGGAAAGTTAAAACAAGAAAACTAGACAGAATTCCTAAAAAAAGCTACACTAGCCATATCTGCTAACAAAAAATTCGCCAGGGGAGGTAGAGCATCAAGCTCAACAAAATGATCCACCTGTTAGACTGCAAGGTTAGCCAAAACATCAGCACACTGATTGCCTTCTCTGAGAGTATGAACAATGGGTACGTGGTTTGTCGCCAATATCCTTCTACAGTGAGTAATAACAGAGCTCTGTTCGGGTGAGTAGTCTCCGGATCCGAAGACAAAAGCTTGACAGCTTCAAGTGAATGAGTTTCCACAGCGATATGAGTGATATTCCTCTTCTGTACAAGCTCCAGTCCCTTGAGGATTGCCCATAACTCGGCCAGTAGGCTTGTGGAATCATCCATTTTCTCATAGAAACCAGCGATCCATTTTCCTTGATGATCTCTAATAATTCCTCCCACTACTGTTGGGCCTGGGTTTTCTTTTGAGCATCCATCTGTGTTCAGTTTATTTCAACTTGTATGAGGGAAAGTCCATGCAATAAGTCTGGAAGAAGTATTAACAAGATCATCGTGGGCATTTTGAAAGGCTTTGACAGTATCCAAAGCAAGAAGTCACGCTTCCCTAACAACAAATCTTGATAAGGTAGAAATTTTAAAAATAGTTTCCCTATTCCTATCTTTTCATTTACACCATGCAACACATGCACACATGATAGGCCTTTTTCACTATTTTTGGAAATAGAATATTGTGCAAAACGCCCAAATCAGAAATGCTATTCATCTTTGTCATTTCACCTTTTTAGGTCATAATATTTGCTAGAGGCCAAGTGTGGTAGTTGCAGCTGAAGAAATTGAATTGATGCTGTTTTTTTTTTCCATGCTTGTAAGCTAACAGCCTGGAAAGTAGAAACAAAGGCTACCTGCTAGTAGGACCAAATTATATTTGTTTACTGGGACTGTAATTCTGCTAAGTGTAGTTCTACAGCTTTCAATGGTGTGTGAATGTGATCTTTGATTCACCACAGTTACTTTATTTTACGAGTATTAGACTATTAGGTCTGTCATCAACTGGGTCTGGTTCAATCAGGTTGTGTGGTTCTTTGAGTTACTTGCATCAGCAGCATCATGCTGATAGCTTCAATATAGCTCTGATTTACAAAAAAGCTTCCGTGCTATCCTTGTTAGTCCGTCCCAATAGAGAGGTGGGTGCTTAGGGTGAGTTCTGCTATGCGTACAGTTGCAATTTTAGTCCCATACCCACTCCTATGTGCAAGAAGATACTTGACAAAGAGGTTTTAAGAGGAGAAAGGCTTGGTAAAGTGTAATGATCTATAATACAAGGAAGAGAAGAGCAGTAGTGCATGTATAAGGTAAATTGTACATACAGTCCTCAATGGCAGCCATGCATGTGATGCAGAAGGATGAATTAATGCAGATCAACTGTTACTTCGGATTTAACATCTGCTAATTACTTTCAGCTGTTTAATTTGAAGTTGGCAAAACATTGAAAACTAAAAGAAGGGAATGGGGCTGATGGGGTCTCGAAAATAACAGCCCAAGACCGATTGATGAATTGCTACCTGAATTAATGAATTTGATCGGATATGTGGTTGATTCGCAAATAACGTAAGGCCCAAAACATTTCACCTTAGCCGAAAGATCAATGTTACATCCATTGTAATTGAGTCTCTTACTCCTTTAAGGTCGTATATTGAGATCATGCAAGTATATTGAAATTGTTGACACTGGACTTTTACAAGGGCTTATGCTTAGTTCGTTGTATATCTAAGGCTAAGAAATACAGAAAAAAGCCTCCTTTGTGGTAGGTTGACATTGTTTTATTTATATTGGTTCTTCCTGCTAGGGTTCTCGATGGCTCCTTCTACCTTTTTGTCGATTTTGTAGGGTCCCCTGTGAGTGTCCTGCAACAATCTTTGTTGTTCGACACTGTTATACCCATGATCTCTAGATCGTTATACTCACAACCAATCTCTGTGTCTGAGAGGGTGTATCTGCCATAGGCGTTAGAGATGGTCTCCTTGTCCTTTGGACACGTGCCACGACGAGGACTTGGTTTCTCAGTATTAGGTTATTCTCTGGCTAGTCGTTGAGTCGGGCTTGGGCTACGCTGCCGATCCTTTGGTGCCGATGGGTTTTTTCCTTTCGGCCCCCATTACTTTTCGACGTGGGCGATAAGGGTTTATTTCTTCGGGTTAATAAACAGGCGAAGGTCTTCTGGGCTTTTTCGGCTCAGGGGTTATGACAATCCATGTCTAAAATATTGTCCTTAACAGGGGCAATGCCTGCTAATAGCACGAACGGGTTTGATTCAAGATTTCAATTAGTTATCTATCAAGTCCAATCACTTTTTTCAAAATAAACTGAAATAAAAAAAAAAACATTTAATAAATCATGCCCATTATGTTTTAATTGCCAATATTATCATTTTACTAAAAATGTTTTAGAATCAGATCCATAATTTGATGAAAATTCTCAAGTAAGAAGAGTATCAGTTAATGAGAGATTTAGGCAAACAACTTTTTAATAGAAAAATACTATGTATCCTAAATCTCCATCCCAAATGAAGGGAGACTATTAGATGAGTGAGTGCTATCAATTTTTTAAATGAGACCCACTGATTTAATGGTTTTCTTTGATTTGGGATGAAAAAATTTAGGTTGAAAATTTAGAATACATAGCATTGCTCTTTTTAATACTGCCATATTAAATGAGAGATGGTTGGCAAAAGTCTTAATTAGTAACGTGATCATACAGTGATTTTTCTTAGATGGGACTGGACCAGAGTGATGATACCGAACAACCCAACCCTGTCAAGCCTCGTCCAGGACCCAAGAGTAGTGAGACTGAGCCCAAACTTATGAATTGGATCATTCTAATTTGCTTTGTTAAGCTGTTGCGTCGCATCAAAATCATCCAATCCAATACATACCCAAGCAGACTTTTACCCCTTGTGTGCTGCTTCCTGAGAATTAAGGACCCATTGTAAGATGTGGGTCAACCCCAGATAATTGATATTCCAAGTGAAAGAACTCCGATTGGAAAGAAAACTTTTAATACGCAGAGATCAACAATTCGAGACAATTGTTCTGCAGTAGTCACTATCTCAATGCATATTAGAAATCTAAAATTCTTAGTACAAACATCTTAGTCTTCTGAGACAATTTTTGTGCAGTAGATAGAGGAGAATATTAATTTGTCTTTATAAAAACCCCTCTTTCTTTATGTATTGTAGATAGATTAAGCTCCAAATTATCCAATCCTTTTGAATCGACAACTCCCTCCTTTGTTGATCGTGTTTTGTGTTTGTGGGTAGGGTCCATCATTTTCCGTTTATTCACAATGGGGTGTACCGTACTTATGACTATTATCTGATATTTTTTCTTTCAAATTTATCATAAACTTTTTAATGTATTAGATTAGGTGGAAGTGAAGTATCTTTCATATTCATTTTCTTTTCAATACGTATTGAATAAGGGTATTTTAGTTTTGTGTAATTATTTTTTACTCATATTAGAGCTATTTAATAGATTTCTTAATCTTTTGTGCAAAAATTTTAAACGACATATATTTAAAAACGGAGAAAATATTATTTTTTTTTACTTTTAATTTTGACAGTACCCAACCCACCGGCATTATCAGCAGTTTCCCGATGCTTCTTCTTCCTGGGTTTGTGAGCTTTGTGTTGTACCTGTACGTGAAAAAGTATTGACTAATGTTACATACATTTAAAAATTTAGAGTCGATAATTTTAACTATTGAATAAGTAGTAGGTCTAAATAAATATTGGGACCTACAGTAAAATCAATGGTTGAGATTATCAATTCTACTTTTTAAGTTTATGTAGCATTATTCAAAAATATTTGATTCCAAAAAGCGCGATAAAAGGGTGTCTAACCTAAATAGTAAAAAAAAACAAATAATAATAATATTAAGGTGAGGCGTGTAGCGTGTAGCGCGTAGCTCAACAACATATCTATCTATCCACTTGACCAACTTGGCCCTGGTGAGGCGGCAACGTTTCTCGAACATACCAATTATCGAATCCTTCTGAATCACATCTCGTTTATTGATTTTGTTTTGTTTTGTTATTTTAGTGTTTGTGGTAGGGTCCCACCATTTTCCGGATATTCACCAGGGGGTGAATGTATGGTGATAAATCCCAGACATGAATGGATTGTGACACCCATCTAAGGATTTAAATCTCTCCCAAGTTCAAAGAATGCATTCACCTAAGATTTTAATTATTATTATTACTATTATTTTTAGTTGAACAATCGAGAATGTTCGAACTACCTCACGCATACTTTGATTAATTTTTCTTTTTCAATCTAATTAAAATCAAACTATCTACCCCAAAACTAAGCCACTTGATTGAAATTTAACATGACACTAGCTCATAAATAGTATAATCCATAAACATGAAAAATAAAGGATTAGGTTCTCAAAACAAAACTATTTAATTGGTTTCTATAAATAAATTGTATAGGTATTTTTAGAAGAATTATATTCAGACCCTTTTAGCGTTTATCAGTTAATCACTCATACTCTTAAGATTTAAAATATTACATATAGACCATTGAGATTTGTCCGCACGTAACACTTAGATCCCTGTTATCAATATGTATTAATATATTTGTTAGTACATTACATTCATACCCCTCTAAAGTTTGTAGTCATATGATGCTTAGACAAAAAATATTTCAATTAAAGATAAAATATCAAATATTTTAAAGTTTACAACTAATATTCATGTTCTATTGCATCATTTATTGAAATAAAATCAAAAAGTAAAAATTTATTTTTTACTTAAAAAATCATAATTTAGTATACAATTATATTATCTATTTGAATAAAACTAAAAAAATCAAACAAAGAGTCTAAGT